GTCGTCAGGAAAATGGTCTTAGAGAAGATGAACAAGCTGCTGAACTGGGATTTGAAATAAACCGGTTTAACAGACAGGCTGTCCAGTTTCTTACAGTATACAGGTCGTTGTGTTGGGTTGTGAAGTGTTTGAAAGCGAGTGGTCGGGCTGTAGTTTCTCCTGCAGTCCGGTCGGTCCTGTGTTTATAAATAATGTCATTTAAAAAAATAAACTTTCATCGCTGTGAAAAACAAATGTTTAATGTTTGTATTTAGAGGATATTGGGGATCACTTGCATGTGTAATACTAGTGATACAATGACAGAAGATGTCGTTTCTCTGGGAGGGAAGAGAAGTCATTAGTAATTGACTTGTTTTTCACTCTCGGTGTGTTTGGGGACAAAGACATTTCACAGTCTAATGGAGTTGAGTTGGACTATAATCAGCAGGAGCCTGTTGTGATGTTTGTGTTTTATTCCCCAGCTGCTGTGACTCTGGACCCTGATACAGCTCACTGTGAGCTCAGCCTGTCTGAGGATGGGAAGAGAGTGAAACAGAGAGAGGAGGATAGCGATGACTGTGATGATGGTGATAAGGAGGAACAGAGTCTCTCTGACAATCCTCACAGATTTGATCTTTATACATGTGTCGTGAGCAGGGAGGCCTTCACCTCAGGGAGACACTACTGGGAGGTGGAGGTGAATGACAGCTGGAGAATAGGAGTGACCAGAGAGTCTGCAAAGAGGAAAGGGAGGTTAAGCCTCTCTCCCCAGCAGGGTTACTGGTGTCTGTACTCTTACTCTTCTGTTTTCTCTGCTCTCACTGACCCTGTGACCCGTCTCCCCCTCAGTCAGCGGCCCAGGAAGCTGGGGGTGTGTGTGGATATTGAGGAGAGGAAGGTCTCCTTTTACACAGTGGAGTCCAGAGCTCATCTCTACACTTTCACTGACATGGTCTTCACTCAGGGGGAGAAGATCTATCCTGTCTTCTGGACCTGGGATTCAGATAAAGACCTTGAGCTGCTGCCTGCTGTCAGTGTGGAGATTAAACCCGTCACTGACTCATGAACACAGGCTGACTCTCTCCCAGCTCTCTGTCCACTGTTCACACTGGGAGACGGGTTTACTGACAGGTAGTGAAATGATGTCATCAATATAATAGTAATTTTAGATGATGACGATGTTGTGTCGTGTTTAAATATGTTATATTACAGCAAAATGTTTAAACGGGGGAAAATAACATGTACGAGAGAGGGCGAGATAACGCGCTACCAGCCTGCTGTACTCCTGACTTGTAAATATCTCTGGAAACCCTCCCGTGTTTTTTTTCTAATTTTGAGAAAATAAACTTTTAAAAATGAAATCCCGTGTGAGTCTCTCCTGCACGCGCCGGTGACTGTGAAGCTGCCAGAACGGAGAGGGACCCGCTGACGTCACCACAGCCAGGAGGAACAGGTTGTAGTTCAGGTGGGTAGCTGCGTCAGCATGCGTAGGCTGCAAAGGAACAAGTAAAAGGTTTATTCCATGCTGAAAAAAAAGAAGAAAGAGAACACAACGTTTCAGCCGTGGAGCCTTCTTCAGGTGTGGAAGAAGGCTCCACGGCCGAAACGTTGTGTTCTCCAGGAGGAATAGGGACTGTGACGCAGACAGGAAGTGGCTCAGGGTGTTTATGGGAGCTGTAGTTTACAACCAGCACTGCGTGTGTGAGCAGCTACAGACCCTGACAGTCTAGTACATGGCTCCCCTTAGAGTTATGTTTAACATTTAAATAAAATCTGTTTTATTTGACATGTGTCTTAGGGGAAAGTGTGGTGTGGACGTGCTGTGCCCGTTACTACTTTTTCCTGCTCTTTTCTTTATTTTAGTTCCCAATAAATTGAGATAACCGCCCGTTGAAAGCTCTGTTTTCCTTCATATGAAAGCCCAAAACCCTAAACCGAACCCTGGATTTTATATCTGTTTGGTGGCAGTGAGGTAGTTTTAACACACTCCCTTGTGCGCTGGTTAGTGTGGTTATTGGGAGACACTCCCTAGAGCAGGCGAGTTAGAAGATGGCTGAGCTGCTTCATAACTGTTCATGTAAGAAGTGAAGTTAAACGCATTCCTGGTGTTTTGTTTAACCTTTAACGTTTAATTTATATAAACCAGGGTGCCTAATCAATCGATCACGGAGTGCTTGCCAGTCAATCGATCGCAAGAATGTTTGGCAAAAAATAAATGGGCTATTTATTTACTTTTTTCGATAGCCAAAAATTTCATTCAGATCAGTCCATGTCATGTCATACACTTTACTGCCCTTGTGTGTGTTTCACCCTTGTCGAAAGGGTTGTACAAGTCTCTTCCCTGAGTGCTGGCTGACACTGAAGAAAGGCTGCAGGAGCTCTGTAATGAGGAGCTGTGTGTGCGCTACCCAAGATCG